ATTAGTCAGCTGCTTCTGGTACAGAGAGAACTGGCAGGAGCTACTGGTGCTAAACCAAGCCTCTGCTTGGGGCCCAATAAGCAGATACAAAATAGTCACAACTCAGTGACATCCAGAAAGTACAGCCTAATTTATGGAATGACTGGCACAGAGGCTGGAGGCTAGCCTGTACCACCCCTGCATCCCAGCCTACCCCAGATAACAGCAAATTGGGGAGGACAGCAAAAACTCAAGTCAGCATGCTTCTGAAAGGCACTAAGCAATTCAAAGAGGGCCAGAGACCCCCAGGACACTCCAGTCTGAAAGAAACCAGAAACATGACAAGAGATAAAAATAAAAAACAATCTCCAGCTGCCCAACATGAGAAAATAAGCCCAGGAGAAGTAAACACTGAAGAGACCAAGCACAGTAACCATCCATCACTCGACACAGCATCAGCCGAAATTAAAAAAAACCTTCATGATCTCACAGATGAATTTAAAGCTGTACTCCTGATCCAAGTGAGGCAAGATATAAAGAGATTAATTAAAGAAATTACAAGCCCTGCCCAAGAGAACACAGATGGAAGAACTGAGGAAATCAGAAAAGAAAGAGAAACTTCTGAAGAAGAATTTAAACATAACTTAGAATACATGAAACAGATCCAAAGAGAATACCAGGAAACTAAAAACTCCATTGAACACTGGCAAAATGCCTTGACAGAAACTAAAGACAGCCTTCTGAAACTTGAAGAGAGATTTATGGCATATGATCATGAAAGAAAAAGCCACTTAAAAATAACAAGGAACCAGAAAGAAACAATTCAAAAACTAGAAGATGACAAAAAGATACATAACTTAAGAATAAAGAATGTGAGTGAGGAAGCAGGAGCAACCAAAAATGAAATACAAAGAATATTCACAGATATATTAAAGCAAAATTTCCCATGTATAGCAAAAAAAAATAATATCCAGATAAAAGAGGCATACAGAACACCAGCTACCTACAACCAAAACAGATCTATGCCTAGACATATAATAATCAAGATTCCAGAAATCCACCAAAAGAACAGAATATTAAAAGCAGCCAGATGCAGATTACCTACAATGGGAAAATTATCAAAATAACAACAGACTTATCAACACAAACTCTTAAGTCAAGAAGGGAATAAAAAGAAATATTCCAAGTCCTAAAAGAAAATAATATGCAACCAAAGCTCATATACCCGTCAAAACTCTCTCTCAAAATTAATAGAGAAATAAGATGCTTCCAAGACAAGGAGGAACTGTGGGAGTTCGTGGCCACCAATCCAACACTACAGAGAGTGCTGAAGAACATTACAGAGAAAGAGAGGAAGGGAAACCAGGATTCCAGCAACAGTGGCAGAGAGGCCTCAATGAACAAGGCAGACAGTGGAATGAGGGAATAAGGTGGACAAATTATAGCAGAAAAGTGGAATAGCAGACATGAGGCAGAGACGGTAAGCTCTGAAACACTATAATTAAAAAAAAAGGCAGAGGTCATTGTTAATGGTGTATAAGGATTTAAAAGACACAGTAATCTTATCATCATATTTAGTTTGAATTTAATTTGTTCTGGTCTGTCCACTCATGTCAGATTTGAGGGCACAGACATCTTGACCCAAAAATAGCAGGTTATACCATGGTAACTATCCTTACTTTCCTATTAACTTAAACTGAAATCCTGTATTACTTACATTGTCTTACTATGACTGATCTTAATTGAATCTGTATCATAAGACTATAGGTTGGCCTTGGCTGATTTTATTTGAATTTGGTATGCTTGTTAGTATCAACCCTAAAAGTAGAGGCAACTACTCTGAAGATGACAAGATGTAAAAGATATCCATACTGGTATTAACTAGTAACAGCTCTCAAATCCTACAATGCTGTCAAAGTTAAGTTTTTATAAAAATAGGTGATACTATGTTTAATTATAAGCCGGTGTTGTGGTCAAATCTATTGAAAATAACAAGAGAAAACATAGTAACTACGGAAGATCATCTATATTGTGGTCTTATATGTCTTATCCATTGCATGTTTTTCTAGGAAATTGTTTTGCTGTCTTGCTATGACTTGGTTTTCCCTATAATACAGAGAGGATAGATATATATGTAGAAATTCACACATGGGTTTTTTTAAAAATTATTTACGGGAACAGATTATATAATGCAAGATGTAATGAACAGATACTCTGAGGAAGAGACACCAAGAAACCCAAGGCTAATTTTGTAGCATTATGATATAAATTCTAGCAATACTATTGTTCGCTGATTAGAATGACATTGGACTGGTTTCTTGAGTTCAATTTCAGCATATGTAGAAATGGGGACAACTATCACAAAGAGAATGAGAGATGCGATGGTAGTTATTATTGTCTTCCCTAATTTGGAACTTGAGGACCTAAAAAGCCTTCATCATCCTGTAATGATTTGATTAGTTCTATAATATGCAATAAGTATATAAAGTGGGTGAAGATGGGGACAACTATTTGTAAGAAACTAGAGACAGTTAGACAGTGAAGATCTCCAGTGGACTTGCTTTGAAATCTGTATTTCTTTAAATTGTTTTTTTAACTGTTTTGTTCTGTTTTGATATGTTTAATCTTACCCTCTTTGAGATGTAAAACAAATGTGTAGGACTGATAGCCATATTACTAAGCTTTTGTTCGACCATAGAGCAGAACAGTTTGTAGTGTCACTTTTTGAATGTCATTCTAAATACTTTAATTCTATAACCTGAACAGCTATTTCTAAGATGACAATGTGTAACTTATCAACCAGCAATTTCTTACCGTTTGTTTTTCTGTAATTTTGTATTATTTCTACCTTTTTTTATCTCCATGTATTTTTTTTGTTTCCTTTTCTTTAAATAAAAAAAAAGCTAACACACTGTGTGACCCCAAGTGTATAACGTTCTGGAAAAGACAAAACTGGTATCAGACAAAAGATTAATGTTTATCAGAGATTCAGCAGGAAAGAAGGGTGCATTGCCAGCAGCTTGAGAATTTCTAGGCCATTGAGAGAACTCTCTGTGGCAGCAGGGGCCAAGGGCATCAGCTGTAACAGTGGAGATACGACATTGTACATGTTTCCCAGCCCATAGGATGCGCAATACCAAGAGTGAACCCTAATGGAACCAGTTGGATCTGGGTGATAATGATGTGTCACTGAAGGTTCCACTGTACCAAATGTGTTGGGAGTGCTGGTATTAGGAAAGGCTGTGAATGTATGAGCAGAAGAGGTACATAGAAAATATCTATAAATCAACTGAATTTGCTGTGAATGTAGAACTCTAAAATGTAAGATTGGTCTATACAAGTAATCTCAGGGCTCTATGAGGCTAAATTAGGAGAATTCCAAATTGTAGCCAATCCAGGCAACTTAACAACCTAGTAAATAAAACACTATTTTAGAGTAAAAATAAAAGTTATAAAACAAACTGGAGGTATAGGTAAGATGGGGCACCCTGGGTTAATTCCCCAGCATGATACATATGTAAATAAAGTCTACTTTTAAAAATAGGAATGCAATTACTTTTACTAGTTTATATCTGAAATATATAATAACCACAAAAAAACATAAAAAAGGAATATACAAACCTCATGTTTGCTGATGCAATGCAATCCTTATTTCTTTAATGACATAGAATTTATTCATATTTACATGGAGGAGTGGGTGGAAAAATGAACTTGTAGCTAGATAGATGAATCCCCTCTCTGTCTGGATGTCTTTCTGTTTTTTCTTTTCTTTCTTCTTTCTTCCTCATTTTTTGAGGGCAGTGGTACTGTGGTTGAACCTTGGTCTTTGGCACTGAATTGCACCACCAGCGCTTTTCCCTATATTTATTTTTCTGCTTTGAGAACATATCTCTCAACTTTCATTGCCAAGGCTAAGCTTCAACTTGTGATTCTCCCACCTGTGGTTCTCAGAGGGTTGAAATTATAAGCCACACCTGGGAACCACACAACTTCATTAGTGAAGAAAGGGTATGAATACCATGGAACCAAGGAGAGTTTCCACTGTTGATCAGCCTTTGGAATTCAGTATCCCTTTAAACTCTTCTTCTCAAAAAGAAGTAATCTCATTCTTACCAAGGGCAATAACCCAAAGATTTGGAAGTTTAAGATCTACATTTGTGTCTTTGTGATGTGTCTCCCACTAATTTAGAAGAATTCTCCAATGACAAAGACAATCAGTATACAATGGAGTAAGAGGCACTGCATACCCACAATGGAAATTCCCAATGAAGAGCAGAAAACTGGGGGAGATGTAGGAGATGCCACTCTATTGCAGTTAACTAAGGTCAGGAGAGAATCCAGGAGCCTTGAATAACAGTGTTAAACCCCTAGAAAAGAACACTTGTGCTTCCACATTGGAGAATGAACAAATAGCTTCAGTACAGCCGTATCTCAGTTGGACAATGAAGATTATACATTTCCTGAAAATACGGGAGAAATATATATATATATATATATATATATATATATATATATCAATGTCAGTAAAATGAGTGAACCACTTTGCACTAGAAGCACAAAATCTTTATGGGTGACAAGAGGGAAGGAGAAAAATGATGAGTAAAGCAGGAGTGTGAGGAAGAGATTCCAGTGACAGCACCTTTCATTCATTTGTTCAGTTTTGCTATTGGAAATGTGTATTAAACAATAAGGCTCCCGGGCTGGGAATTTAACTCAGCGACATGAGCACCTGCCTTGCAAGTGCACAGTCATGAGTTCGATCCCTAGTACAAAAAACCAAAACAATAAGGCTCCATTTGTGAGTAGTTATCCATAGAAGACCAGGAAATGTGCAGACTACGTTATGTGTGCATTCATCTATAAACAAATTCACCACACAGGAGTTAATCAGGGTCCTTCACTCAAGGGGAAACTGAAAACTATGGAAGAATAAGACACATGGAAATTTACAAATAGGAACTTGTTCCCCTTCATGTCTTAAGGTTGGAGTTCATCTTAAAGGAAAATTCTCACTCAGAACCTAAGAGATACAATTTTTATTAATTCATTAGTAAATATTTATTGATTCAGTAATTCAACAGAAATTATTATTCATTAATTCAATGAAACAACAGTCACTAATTTACACATGAAGATGATGTTCCATCAATGACATAGACCAAAAAAGCTCTGCTTTCAAAAAGCTTACATTCTCATGATTTCAAAGAAACTCTATCAAACTATATGCATAATTATGAGTTTTCATGCCACTACAGAGGACAGTTTTGTTTCTAACTTTTTTTAATTTTAAAGAGAATTTTTCAAAGCACAGTTTCCAAAGCTAAAAGAAGAAAGGATAACTAAATAAAACAGTAACTATTTAAAAATTGAACCTCTTATTAAAAGACTTCTCTAAAAGAAAACACTGGACCCCGTGGACCTCAATAATGAAAGTGTAAACACTAAGGAAAGATACAGCAGCAGAGCATAGGGAAATCGTAACAACAGTCACCTTTGTATAAACACTGACATACTACAAGCAAATTGAAGGACATAGATTGCAAAGTTATAAAATACACAATGAGAACGTACACCTGAAATGAGTGCTTTAACCCAAGATGAAGGAGTGGCTTAACATTTAAAAATTGATGGATACAATATAGGACCCCCTAAATAAAATGGTAAAAAGACATAATCATCTTAATATTGTGTAGAAAATACATTTGATAAAATCCAGTAATCACTTGTAAATTTTAAAAAGAGAGAAAAAAAATTTTGTCTTTTTGACACATGGTCTGGCTATGCAGTTCAGGCTGGCCTTGAGCTCACCCTGTAGCTCAGGCTGGTCTCAAACTTGCAACAGTCCTCCAGCCTCAGCCTCCCAAGTGCTGAAATTACAGGAATGCACCACCATGTCTGGCAAGAGAGGAAAATTCTTAGCAAACTTGGAGGTACCAATAAACTTCCTTAGTCTTATACTTGAAAAAAAAAAGTTTAGGAAATAGTGGTGCATGCTAGTAATCCCTGGTACTCCAGAAGTCGAGGCATGAGGATTATAAATTCAAGGCCAGCCTACAAAATTAAGTCAGACTTTGTATCACAATTAAATAAAAGGATCTAGAGTTATAGCCCAGTGCTCCCTGAGTTCAATCATTGGGGGTCCTTTACCAAACTACAAAAACTCTGTCACAACCATTTTATCTAATGATGAAATTAAGTTTTATTTTTAATCTACATGATTTTTCTAAATCCTAGGAGTCCACAGTATTCGTTCTCCTCTTGTATTCTTCCCCACCTTCACTTAGGTCAGGATACACACTTAGGTCAAAACAAAACACAAACCCCTCCGAGAGAGCCGATTATCTATTTCTTTCCCCCCCAAATCAGGTAGTTTTCCAAAGCAAATATTCAAGGGCATAGCTCAAGATGAAATAAAGCTGGAGATAGGATTACAATACTACGGACAAGCCTGAGTCACTTCTCACATTGTTGTTAACTCCTTGCCTGCAGTAAGCACCCCAGAACCAGGGGCTGTGTCAGTAGTCTGGACAAAGTCCTCACTCAGGGCCCTCTCCAGTCTGATGGGCAGGGAGTGGATCAGTCTTTCTCTGAAGTTCTGACCCACAAAGACATAGACTACAGGGTTAATGCAGCTGTTGAAGCAGGCCAGGGACGCAGTTAGAGGGAGCAGTAACAGGCATACAGTAAACTTAGACGTTTCATCCTCTTGGATCCAGACTTGGAGTAGAAGCATAATCAGACGAAAGGGGAACCAGCAGATGGAGAAGGAAGCCACAACAGCAATGAGGACCCAAAAGGGACGGCTGGACTTCATCATGCCTAGTCCATGAATCTTGACAGCAATTAGCCCATTACAGACAAAGATGATGGACAAGGGCATGCAGAAGCCAATAATGAACCGGGCAATCCCAAGAGGTAGCACTATTGCTAAGAGTACCTTCATCTGTTCTTCCTCTGTGGACCCCAAAGATTCAAAGGTGGCCAAACAGATTACATTCCCTTGTGGACCATTCGTTGTATTTGAGAAGACAGCAGTTGGCAAAGTGAAGACTACAGCAAGAAACCAGGGTCCGATGATTAGCTTTTTGGCCAGACTCACAGTGCGGTGGTTCTGGACCCACACTGGATTCAGCGCACAAATACAGCGGTCCAGAGCAATGAGAGCAATCAGGAAGATGCTTCCATGCTGGTTTATGTCCATTATGATGTTAGTCAACTTGCACAGGAAGCTGCCAAAAGGCCAAAGTCCTCCCATGGCCCCGGAGACAATGAAGAAAGGTAGGGTGACACAGAAGAAGAAGTCGGCAAAGGCCAGGTTCAGGTAACAGAGGGTGGTGACTGTGCGTGCCATCCGAAATCCAGCCACCCAGATCACCAGCCCATTGCCCAGTACACCAAGGACAAAGGTGACTGAAAGTATCACTACTGGGAGTATACACACCACGATGTATACAACAGACCTGTTCATCCCTTCAGATTTATGTGGAGGAATTACGGTGTTGACTTCCATGTTGCCTGTACCTGCAATATTTAAACAAAGGTCATTTCTCCAATGTGGTTTATGATATATCCTCCATATTCAGATGCAATATCACCTGCCACTGTGCCTCCTACTCCACCAAGGAAATCTATTTTATCAATGCTGGTGCCCAGTGATACCATGAAACAGGATGTCTCTTAGATGTTCTCTGGAAAGGAAAGTTCTCACAATTATAAGTACACATCTGCCTCTCAGTTGAGAGGATAATCACACACACACACACACACCAGCAGTAATACTAAACTGGGGGTGACAGGTAACATAACACGGAGCAGAGGCAGCTTCACATACTGACTAGACTCACATCAGCAGGTACGATGTGTTTCTCGTCGTGAATCTTTATGCAAAGATTCAAGATTCATCAAGCCCTGCCCTGCACCATCTTTCAGCAAAGAAGACCCCCATCTCTACTTTCAACACAGCTTCCTCATCCCATGTTAAAACCAAAAACTTATACAATTTTAGCGTTCTGTGTGATAGATTATGATGGTATCAAGTTTTCTTAGTATTTCAATGTTCTTACTAGAGACCAAGTTTTGTGAAGATTGTTGTACATGAGGCCCAGTTTGATCTACATAATTGCTCCAAAGTGTTAGATTTTCTAGTTTTCTTAGGATTTGCTAAACAATTATGAAGCCTGGTGTAGGTAATCTGAATGTTAGAGGAAGGAGTTAGCTCCAGCTTGCTCTGTGAATAGCAGTTATTTTTCACATGTAATGGCCATTATAATATTCTGCCTTCTCTGTTTTATCATCCTAAAAACTCTAGCTCAGGGGTTCTACTGCACTTTTCAAGATCATATCCAACCAGTCCATGGAGATTTGCAAAGCAGGTTTATCAAATTCTAGAGCAATTGCCTTTGCTGCATGGTACTGCCTTTGCCACTGCACGGTGCTGCCTTTGAAAGGGGTTTCCCTAGAGTTACCTGTGTATGCGTGGGCCCTGTAATGATGATTTCCCTCCTTTACATCACTTCCTACTTCCACTATTTGTTGTTTGTCCCCATCTCTTTTCTGAGGTCTTCATGGGACACTGTGTAATGTTGACCTCAGCACCATTGACATTGGAGCCTGGGTATTTTGATGTTTGGGGCTGTCTTGTGCACTGCAGAATCTTTAGGGGCAACTTTGGCATCTGTCCACTAAATGCTGTTAGCAAATTCCCTCCAATAATGACAGTCAAAGTGTTCTTAGGGAGGCATAATCACCTCCATTTTAAAGTCACTCTTTTGACTGGGTTCTAATTTGCATAAATCTATACGTATTTGAATCCTACCTCTGACTCCTCCTCAGTTTGGGTTCTTGCACAAGGTCAGCTCTGAATTTAGGTTTCCTTCTCTGCATTATGAATGTGTGTTTTGGTGGGGATGGACTTCCAGGTAAAGACTAACCATGAATAGACATGGGAATGTTGGCTACACCATGTCACTAACAAATGGGAGCTCATCCTCCCCAGGATCTGCGCTGTGTCCTCGGTCTGGGCTGTTCAATGTGGAAGTTCAAGGTCAGAGAAGAACAATGTTCCTGAGAACAACCACTGCTATTTGTGAACCATATCCCCCCTCAAACAGCTGCCATCACCTTTCAGACTTCCCAGCGGCTCTTGAAGAGTGCATGTGTTCATTTACAGAAGGCATTGAGTACACTGAGATGTTACAATATTGAATAATATTAGCTATACTCACCTACTGTTGCACAAGTGGGGAAGCTGAGCCTCAGACTGGTTATGGGAGTTGTTTAATTCCCCTGGTTAGAAATTATCAGAGCCAGAATTGGGCTTTAGTCTGATGGATTTCTCCAGAATTATGCTTTAAATCTTTTTCTCACTCTGTGTTTCCTCAACAAATTCAGGTTTTCTGTTCCTGTCGTAAAACATCCTATAAGGCACTAAAAAGGTGATATACTCAGTGATCTCTAACTTGTTGACTTCAAGATGTGTCAGTACATGGAAAGACAGAGACAGCTGGGGCAGGCCAACAAGCCAAACTTTGCAATCACAGCTGCACCTAGCTGTAAAATGGGAGAGGGAGCTGTGAGGCAAGGGGCTTACCTGACTGATGGCCCCCGTGTGGTGAGACCTCACACAAGCCAACTTCTCTCACATCAGCAAACTACCTTGGGGCCAAACATCCCATCCTGAGATACAGGCTGAAGCCGCAGCTCAGAGAAGGGAAGTGACTGCCAGATGTCACCACCTTTGCGGTGTTCAAATTAGTTTTAACCATGTACTTTACGTGGGAACTCAGCACTTCCCTGTGACTCACTCTGCTTAGCATACTCTCATCCCCATCTTTAAAATTAATTTCAGTACTTCTGCTTTCTCCTCAAACTCTCCACTTTCCTCCAGGGCTCTCATTTGACTGATATTTCACTGAGGAAATGCCAACAAGTTCACACAAATGTTTAGCTTTCTTCCTCCAAACCTCCAATCTACCTGCACCTGCTCCTGTGATTCAAATTCTTTCCCATTCCCAATACCAACCTCCCATATTTGCTCTGAATCCTTCCCCGCTTCTCCAAAACATTCTTCTGTTTAACACCAAAACAAGCTTCTCAGAATTTCAGTTCTGCTATTTCATTCTCACTGTGACATAAATATTATTATACCCTTCCTTTAAAAGTTGTGATCGTTAGTCCATGCTTCTTTCCAACTGCTTCTTTCCAGTGTACCCCTTCAGAGACTTCTTTCTCTGAAAAACATTCACAGTCAGACACTAGAAGGGGCGACTCTAACTTCCTGCTCCACTTCTTCTCCTCAGATTTTCTCCAAACTGTCTGCATGTCATCTGGGTCCTTTGCACTCCACTGGGTGTGGCCTCCTGGAGGAGGCTGAATGACTCCATGCCACCAAATCCAGTGGTCCCTTCTCCACTCTTATCCTGATAGCCTAGTAACATAAGATCTATCAGACTGTTCTTACTTCCTGATATAATTGTCTTTTGCTTTGATCATTTATCATGCACACACACACACACACAAACACACACACACACACACACACACACACAAATTCTTCATTCTTTAATTTGTTCAACAGTCTATGTTTTGGTCAAACTTACAAGCTTTTGATTCTCTAAATTTTATTCTAAATTTGGGTTTGTGCCTTATCATACACCCTGGTCGATCTATCTATAATCATTCCACAGGAGATACAGTCCAATTTCATGGCTCACAATATCATGATGACAGTGTGTAATCTAACCCATCATCCACAGATGTGCCACACAGATCCGGCATGACATAATCAACTAAGTTCCTAACATCTCCACATGACCAACAAAACCCCACGCTAACACTGCCTGAACAAGATTCTCAGATATCATATTCTTCCCAAGTAAACCACTTTCCCAATACTTTGAGCTGACATAGTCTAAGCTTACATATTTGGTTGTGAAATCATGAAATGTAAAATGTGCCTTTGATTGCTTTTTTTTTACCCTGTAAATCAGTGCTAGCCCTTTTAATACTGAATATACTCAATCATCTCTACCCCACTACCACTGTCTGGAGCCCTTCATATTTTCACTAATCTCACAAGTAAATTGATCTGAAACCTGCTGCCCCCCCCACTAAAATCCACTCTCATGAAAAAAGAATCAAATCATCTCTTATGAAGACCAAAAACATTATAGCACTAAAGGAGACATTCTGGCAAAAATCTGTAATCCCAACTAATCAGCAGGCTGAGGCAGGAGAGTGGGATTTTTGAGGCTACATGGAAAACATAGTGAGACTTTGTCTAAAAAGAAAATTTTAAGCAAATATGCAGAGGTGCTGCTCAGGCAGAAAGACCCTGTGTTAGGTCCTCAGTGCCACAAGAAAATAAATAAGTAAAAACAATAATGAAGATAAGGATTGTCCAGGTCAGATCTGTCCAGTGTCTCCTGTCCTCAGGTCTCATCCCTTCACTGACGTCTTCCACACTATGCTCAGTTCATCCTGAGCTCCTCCACTTCTTCATACACGCACTTTATTACCAACTCAGGCACTCTGCGTTCTCCATTCCCTTCTGTTTCCAATGCTCTTCTCTTTGAGCTCCCTTACCTGACCCTTCCTGGACATTCATACCTTAGCTTAGGTATTAAGTCCTGCAAGAGCCTATTTGATCCATGATATAAAGCCTTTTCCCCAGACACAATTGGTCTTCCCAGATAGCAGTCTTGTTTCTATACTGGATTTCTTTTTCACCCTCAGTGCCCTCAGCACTAATGTGTAAACTCTTCAAGATAGTCAGGCTTGTTCAATGCTTTTCCTCTAGTGTTACACTCTGTACAGAAATGTGATGTGAGCTGCAAGTACAAGCCACACACATGGTTTACAATTTTCCAGTAGCCATGCTGAAAAAATTTAGAATTCTAGAAAAATGAGTATTAGAGACATATTTAATTAACCCAACATATTCAAAATATAATACTGGAATATTTTATCGAAATAAATTGTTAGTACAGATGTACAGTCACAGCAGCTCAGGAATCTGAGGCAGGAAGACGCTGAGGTCAAGGCTATTCAATTTCTTAGAAAGACCTGGACTCAACATTTAAAAATGCAAAAACAAAAATCATTAGTGGGATCACTTATGCCTTGGTTGGGCACTCTGACTTTGAAAATACCAAGTGATTTTTTTATAATAGGAATCAAACTGAAGACCTTACACTTGCCAAGCATTTGTAGAGCTGAGCTATAACCCCGGCCCCCAAGTGTCTTTTGCATTCTAGAACATTCATTCTAGCACATGTGCCCTCAGAGTGAGTCCTGTGCTTTGAACATGCTAAATTGAAAGCTCAGTGGCTGTCCTCATCAGGGTTAGAAGCAGGACAGCTCCACTTGAGAGGTGGAAGGTGTCTGTCACCTAATTGGCATCCAAACAATATTTTCTAAATTGCCACCCTACAACTTACCTCCAGCTGGGATTCTCTTGTGGCAGGTTCCTGGCTTCCTGCGGAGCAAAATGAATTCTCAGCTTTCAGAAGAGATTTTATTGAAGGTCAGAGGGAGGGACAATGAAACCAATGCTAAGCATGTGACAGAAACTAAAGGTTCCTTATGAGTTCCTGTAGATTCTCCCCCGCTCTCACCCTTCTTCCTTCCCCGCTTACCCTCTACTCCCCCTCTCCTCATTCCTTCATTCTGCCTTTCTTGGCTTACCACTGATTCTTCTCACTCTGAATATGTCCCTTCTCTTTAATTTAATGTCTTGGAGGAAGAGAGGCCCAGACACACAATTCCTTGATCTGACGATACTGAGAGAGCTGATCGTTGGTGTCCCATAGAGGATTAAGTATGAGAAAAACATTAAGACTTTGGTTTCTAACAGTACCCAGGCCACTGTCAAATGGTTTCAAAACAGACGTTAAAAGGTATATTCTTGTAGTCATGGGGATCATAAGGAGCCTTGGTTTCCTACTTTTTGTGACGCAGTTGGTTCTAGTTCCTATTCCCTTCCTCAGCCTGGGTGGTACATTGTCAGCTGAGAGTATTAGAACAAAGTAGCTCATAGCAGGAGAAAGGAGGTTATAGCTTTACAGGGCTTTCATCTGTACCTGGTGGAAGGTCCAGATGAGAGGCACCTGCCTGTACTGAGAAGCTTCACAGCCGGTGCTCAGTGGACTGTGAGAACAATAAGCCCTGTGGAGGAAGTTATAGAGAAAGGCAAGAGGAAGAAGTGCATACAAAAAATTTATACTGTTCCTTCCTTCATGCCACACTTTTGCTGTAAAGGACAGCCAAGAAATTGATAAGAAACTGAAGAGTAATACAAAACGGAGAGTGATATTGTTTAATACAAAGGAGTTCTAGACTAGGAATCAGCTGTAAAATTATTCAATGAGAGGATTCAGTAAACAATTTACAATAACAACTGTCCATGTGAATGGTCTTAACTTTTCATCAAAAGCAACAGACTGGTAGATTGGGCAAAAAATGCAACTATATGCTACCTATAGGAGACACAACTCATAGTCAAATGTTGAAAGGATATAAAACAGGGGCTGGGGGTTTAGCTCAGCGGCATAAGCACCTGCCTTGCAAGCAGGCGGTCGTGAGTTCGATCCCCGGTACCGATAAAAATGAAAAAAGACCAAAAAAAAGAAAGGATATAAAACAAAACACCATCCAACCAGAGGCCCAAAGCCAGCAGGGGTAACTATCTTCTTTTCAGGCATAGCAGATCTCAAGCTAAAACTGGTCAAAACGGACAAAAACGATCACCACATAGTGATAAAGGGGACAATTCAGTGAGAAGAGGTAATTATAAATATCTCTGCACCCCATGTTGACACATCAAATTTCATAGAATAAACACTACTGGACATAAATGGACAGATACACAACAGTTCAGTCATAGCAGAAAACTTTCAATACCCAACTTTCACAATTAGGTCAGCCAAAAAACTAAAATTGCAAAGAAATATGTGAAACCACACCACTGAACAAATGGATTTAAGAGGTATCTACAGAGGGTCTCATTGAGAAATACACATATTTTTCTCAACAGCATATGGAATTTGTCCTGAAACTGAACCTATCTTGGGGCATAAATATCTAAATAAACATAAAAGAATTGACATAATCTCCTGCATACTATCAGATCATAGTGAAATAAAGCTAGAAATCAAAAGCAAAAGAAACCACAGAATAGCAAAAGCAACCTTGGGCAACAAGAGCAAAGAAGGGGGTGATACAATTGTAGATTTTAAAGTATATTCTTGAGCTACAGTAATAAAAACAGCATGATACTGGCACAAAAACAGACATCCAGATACATAGAACATAATACAAAATGCAGAAACAAAGCCAAGCCATCTGACTTTTGACAAGGAAGAAAAGATGGTCTCTTGAAGAAATGGGCTGTGAAAACTAACATGCGAAATGAATCTTTAGCCATATTCCTCACCATGTTCCTTGTTCTTATTAAAATCAAAATGGAACACAGCTCTAGATGTTCAATATGGAAACACTGAACCTGCTAGAAGTTAAATTAGGTAAAAATCATAAAGACACAGGGATAGGCAAAGACTTTTATAGAAAAGC